AGCGGCAGTCAGGCCCGCGGCAGGGGTGGCGAACGCGACGTGGCATTTCTCTATGTTAATGACGTGTCCCGCACAAGATTCCGCTTCCATGAACAAGTCAATCGTTAGTGGTCAGGTGATGAAGACGTCCTGAGATACAGCGGTAATGTCGTCAGCGCATGCGCGATGTATAGTTTGGGGTATACAGTTGATGGTCTTGAAGGCTTCAAGGAGAGGATTGATGATGAAAGCGAATGCGAGACCCGAGAATTGGCAGCCTTGTTTAACACCACGCCCAGGGAAGATGACGTATGTCTGGCTATGATGGAAGCTAATTTCGGCCGAACAATCTTGATATATTTGATAGAGTAGCCTGCGAACATGGGCAAGAAATCCGAGCCGATCAAAAAATCTTTGAATCTGGATATGATGCACACTGGGAAAGGCTGCTTTGATGCCAAGCAAGGCGGTTCCAGCGTCGCGCATATTCTGCAGAAAGCCCCACAGAAACATCCACGCATCGACAGCGATGATGTCGTCGTCCATCTGGCGTCCATGCACAATGCCAGCTTGCGACTCATCAATCGCTTCGTATGAGGAAGGCGAGGGGGCTGCCGATAATCTTGTTGTCGGTGTTGCTTAAGGAGAGGGGGCGCGTGCACGGGGCAGTGCGAGAGACGGGCCCCTGGTCGGCGTTGACTCCACCTTTAGCCGGGAAGACCATCTGCGAACGATTTAATTCAGGCGGCAGATCACCTCCATCCAGGAGCTACCCGTAGAGACGATGCAGCGGCTGCTTCGGTTCAGTAGATCCGTTGCGCCATGCCGGGTACGGAATGCCATCTGGGCAAGAGCTAGTACTTCGCCTCGTTCGAAGGAGTTCAACGAATTGTTCGAAAGTTGCTTTCCAGGGATATCGCTGGCACGCGCAACTGGCGCATTGATAGTCGTCGCAAGCGATCGGCTCGACGAACGGAAGGAAGTAATCGACGAATCTGGACTCTCCAGGAACCTTCCTAGATACAACGCCCCAGTGGTCCACGAGATGCCCGGCAGACACAGTCGGGCCGGGGTCGACGGTGCCATCAGGGGCGGCGACGCCCCGCGACGAGATCTTACGACGAGTGAGCTGCCAGGCACGTGCCATGCTCTTCAGCCTCTAAACCTGCTAATCGGCATCGCGTGAGACTGTGCCTGCAAACGTGGCGCCTTCGTTCTGCTCGAGATCTTTCTGCGTGAGGCTGGACAGGCGCGCGTGGAATGCATGTGCATCGTTCCAACAAGGCGCATGCCATAGTATGCTTGAAGTTTGGGGTCGGACCGGAGAACTCGCTTAAGGCGCCAACTATAGGGTGCAAGCGCAGGGCATAATAGGACTGCGCGATGACAACGTACAAGTTTGACGCAACATGCTATCTGCTCGTGCAACGTGCGCGCAGTGTGCTCGAATATGTGCTGACGTACTCTATGCGCAGCCGCTTGGATTAAGTCCTTGACTTCTGAAACTGCAATGCCTGGATCACTGCCGCGCTGAGCGCCGTCGTGCAGCTCGGGGGGGAAAAAACAGGGAACATGTTGCGCGAAGCAATCCAGTCGGGGATGGCAGTGTTCTCCGACGGCGTATATGTACGGAACGAGCAGAAAGCAAGCACGCGATCACTCGCACATCCCTGAGCGTCTAGCTTCCACGAGACGCCGCTTTGCACGGCCTGATCGAGGAGGTCGATGGAGGAGAAGTTGGAGTAGATGCGATCAATCCCGCTGTGCTTGATATCGGTAGCTAGTTCTTGTCTGTGTGTGTAGTCATCCTGGGGAATTTCGGCGCGTCCTGGCAGGGGCTCCCGAAATGCTAAGACTTCAGCGTAACTGGGCACGCGTTCTTCGCGCAAGGTAGCATTCAAACGAACTTCGCCTTCTCCCAAAAAAATCCAGTCGCCGGCGATAAGCGCGCGGGCGTAGGCAGAGGAGAGGAGGAAGGAACGAACCTTGAAAAAGGTATTGCCTTATCTGACCATAACCCAGCTCTGGGGGGAGGTGGGCGTTGAGGATCTGGAAGTTCCCACAGCTCCCGCGACGTCGCAGGAGAAGCACTCGGCCAGGCGCGAGATCTAGACAACCGATCGAGTCGAAGTGTTGCTGGAATGAATTGGCAAGGAAAGAAGGGGTGCCGCCTGCATTCGCATTATCTGCGAAGCTTCCGTAGAGAGAGAGAGAGAGAGAGAGAGAGAGAGAGAGAGAGAGAGAGAGAGTGATGGGGGGTAGTCATGGCGAAGATTTTCGAGATCACCAGGGGTAACGTGGCTCTCCTGGACACGCACGCGATATCATGTTTCACAAGTTGTCGAAGACGCTGGAATTTGGTTATGGTCGTGTGTTGGTTGCTTTGTGCACTTCCGATCAAAGCCTGACTGTTCCAAGTGATGATGCTGAACGGGCGGCCTGGAACAAACTGGTGCCCAGGATCGGGGTGGGGGGCGGAGGGGAGAACAGGAGGAACATATGCAACAGCAACTGATGGCACAGAGTGAGGGCGAGGGAGGCATGCATCACTGGCGTTCGGACTAGGGGCAACACTTCAGGACGTCTTGACGTGCTCTAAGATCGTCTCGACATCACCTGTGGGCAGTCCCCACCTGTCGAGGCTCGCCTGGATGGGCTCGAATACAAACGACTCCTCACCGATCTGCCTTGCACGCATGAGTTCCCAACGTTCCGAGGCGGTGCTGACTTGGAGAACCCCCTTCCCGCCATTCACCCCAAGGCGACAGCCGTGAGCCCACATCTGATGCTTACTCGCACGACCATGAACGAGCTGCCACATCGACAAGAAGACCTTCTTATGCTGTTGAATACGAAGAGGAAGATCTCCACGGACACGAAGAGGATACATATTGTTGTCTCTCGGGTCACACCATTGATAACCATACTCATTGAATCGCATGTGGAAAAAACCGGCCATGGTCTCATCCTTGAAGTGAAGCGTGTAGACTTGGCAGAACTTATAGTTCCTGATCTGTGTGTCCTCTGAGCACTCGGGAAAATCGCCGATGATGCTGGCGAAATGCTTCTTCCTCCCGGTCTCATGGGGCGGCCTCGGGAAACCCGTGGGGTAGCGTTTCGTCGGGTCAACATCGTCTTTCTGGGAGGTCGTACAAAGCCTTGAGACCTTTCTCCTGCTGCCGTCGGACTCTCTCGTAGAAGCCGTCGCCACATATGCAACACGTCCATCCAATAGTTGGCTCGGAAGGCACAGCATGTCTTGTCTAAGTGCAGCAATTGCTCGATCTTGCTGAGCCTGCTTCTCATTGACACTGGCCGATAAGCTCGTGGCATCTCCCTGCATTCTCGTGAACAGAGACGCGTGGTTCTCCCCAAGCAGCATCTTCACCTGTTCCATCGTGATAGCCATGACGGGTTCAACTGGAAACGAAAATGGCTCGCAGTGTTTGGGCAGACTTCCTGAGAGGATCGAGAAATACAAAAACGCCAGACCCCAAGGGTCTTGCCTGCCGCGGAATAGCGGTATCCATGCTGGCACGAGGGCGCGGAAGCCCTCAAGTGCAGGCATCTTGAACCAAAATGGCTCAGGACACCCCCGACGTGAGAGGAGGATGGGCAGGATGGGGACGAAAGAAGGCTCCCCGTCGACGGGACCGGACAGACACCCCACACTCGCTGACAAGGTCGGCGGATTATAGATCCCCCCTGGCGCTATGAATGAACTCACGAAGGGTAGGGGGGGAACCGCCGCGAGGCCCCAGCCCAAGCCCCAACAGAGCCCAAGAGGCTCCCAAGAGAGCCCCAGGAAAAGGCTCCAGAGCGTCAGCGTCGTCGTCGCCGCCGCCGCCGCCGTCGTCGTCGCCGTCCCCCTTCAGGGTCGGCGGCACCGACCGCTAGGCCTTCCCAATAACAAATGAGCTCCCGAGGGGCAGGGGGGGAACCGCCGAGCGATACCGTTAGCACCACGACGCATTAGTTACTCAATTGAGCAACTCCGCGGGTGGGTGGGAGTAAGATGACTAAGACAACCCAAGAGAGGCCTGAAGACTGCCTCTTCGGAGGCAAGAGCCCCCGCCGACAGTTCAAATCCCTGAGACGGCCCTGAGGCACTCTAAACATACAATATATGGCCATCGAGAAACGGAAACCATTAGGATCTTGGTGGGCTCCTGCACTGAGGGGTCTTCGGGCGGTGTATCACTTCCAGGGGCGGGAAGCGATAACATTTTACCGAAAAGGTGGAGGGGGTGCGACAATTGCTTCCCATGGATATTGCATCCGATAGGCCAAATCGGCTAAAACCCTCAGTTTCCCATTCTGTTTTTCCTCCAGCCCTGTTTGGCATCGGACGCCTTCGAGAGCTTTTCAAAAGGCCCCACAACTGGCCCAGCAATGACGCAAGACGGGCCAATGAGGCTACTAGACGGCCCCAACGCTCAATCCGGCCCACGATGGACTCTGGAGAGGCCCGAAGAGAGGCCCAAGACAGAGAGTGTCCCAAAGACCCCAACTTGCGCCAACATGGTAAAACAGGGCTAGGATCGGGATAAATCGCTCCAGAGAATTCCGGAGCGCTCTCAGAGCGTTCCGGAACGCTCTGGAGCGGCCGCGGCGCCCAATACATCCTCCAAACCCGCCGATTCTCAGAGATTTTGAGTTATCCCGATCCGATTTTGTCCCGATCTTCGCGTCGTTTTACATGGTCCCAGGGGGCTCAAGAAACCCCGAAGAAGTCACCAAGAGATCCTGGGAGGCCCTCCAGGATGCCCCCCCGGAGGCGGCCCGACAGCACGCCTCCGGGCGCGGCTTCGGGCTCTCCCCGTGGCGGAGCACCACCGAGGGCCACGCACGGCCCCCTAACACGCCATCGCTCGGACGGCCATTCCTTGGGTTTGTTTTTCGGTTTCGTGCGTGGCTTTTTCGCCAAATGACCAAGGATGCTCCTCGATGGTCCTCGCCGAGGAAAAAATGCACACGTCCGAGCGATGGCAGGCCTAAGGGTTCGGCGGCGCGGAGTGATCCGACGAATATCTCGGGAACGCCCTTCTCGCGCGCCGTCGCCAGGATCCCCTCCAGCGCGGACACGGGCAGGCCACTCCCCGGCGCCGCCGCCGCGCTGTCGTTGGCTGGCGCCAGCGCGCCCGCGCTCAGCGCTGGGCCCAGGAGCTCTTCGGCGAGGGCACTGACGGCTGGATCAACCTGGCTGATGAGCTGCATCAAGCACTGGAGCGACTCCGTGCTTATCTGCAGGGAGCCGTCTCGTAATGCGCCGAAGCCGAGGGCCCTCGCGTACCACTCGGCGTTCATGAGCTCTCCTGCCTTCGCTGGCACTTTGGCCATTTTGTATACGAGATCCTCGAATTGCTCCGAATACGCCAGCTGCGACTCAAACCAAGCACCACCACTGGTGCCAGACACCACGTCAAAGCTGCCGAAGAGAGTGTCCAAAGTGGCCCCGCCCCCCATTGCAGACAGGAGCCCCGTGGTCAAGCCAGTCAGGGCTGTGAACGACAGGAAGCCGCCAGCGTCCAGGCTCACTGCGCGCACCTCTTTGCTCGCCTCGCGCACCTCTTGCGTCGACTGCTTCGGCGAACCTCACGAGCGGCGAACGTATCCATGTCCACGCTCCCGCGGTCTGGACTCCGGGGAACAGTCCCGCAGACACGCGGTCGCACGGGTACGTTCTTTGCGGGACGTCCGCGAAAGGACGCCCCGCATCCGTGGGGTCGCGGCCCACGGGCCCGCGAGGCCGCGGAGAAGGACACGTTTTTCGCCCCAGCGTGGTGGCGTGGGAGGCGATCGGGCCCACCAAGCGGCCACGCACAGGCGAAAGAGCGCGTCCTGGGGGCGCCTGTGAGACCTACCTCCCCCCCCCCGGGGTTCGCACGGGGAGGGGGTGGTACAGTCGGGGCGTTGACCTAAGGAACCCAAAATAAGGAACGAGGCCCCTTTTTTCCAGAAGTTAACCTTCGATTTCCGGTCGAAAACATAAGGAAAGCCTGAGGCAAGCTGTGAACCACTTAAGGGACGCGGAGCCCCTCCCCAACGAAAAGGGTCCCTTCTTCAGGGCCCGGACTGTGGTCCCCGAACGTGGTGGTGACAACGCCTGGCGGTGAGTCTCGGGAGAGTTGGTGTCACCACCCGGTTTGGGGACTCGTCTGGTTTTGTCGAAGATGTTCCGAACGCTGGTGGGTCCAGGAGGAACCCGGCGGCGACCCCGCGTTCCCAAACCCTGCAGGGACTTTCTACTTTCTGGGGATGCCAGATCACCACCTGGTTTGGGAGCTCCCAGGGGGGGGGGGGGGGGGGGTCACTAAAATGGCTCCAGGCTCCGAACCCCCGGGGGGAGGGGAGCCCCCCCCTAACAACCGTTGAGGGTACCTCCCCCCCCCGGGAAGGGGGCACTGGAATTCCGAGGGTCGACGACGACGACGACGACGACGACGGCGACGGCGACGGCGACGGCGACGGCGAGGGCGACGGCGACGGCGACGACGATGGCGAGGGCGGCGGCGACGGCGACGGCGACGGCGACGACGACGATGGCGATAGGGGCCGGCAGACACGACGAGGAAGACGATCATAACGGCGACGACGATGACGATGACGACGACGGTGACGATGACGGCGTCGACGACGACGACGACGATGACGACGACGACGACGACGACGACGACGACGGCGGCGGCGGCGGCGGTGGCCGCTGCGGCTGCGGCGGCGGCCACGACGGCGACGGCGATGGCGACAGGGGGCCGGCACACGCAAACGAGGACCACAGCGATGGTGTCGACGACGGGCGATGGGCGACGGCGACGGCGACCGCGACAGCGACGGCGACGACGACGACGACGACGACGACGACGTGGACGATCACGAGAACGATGACGACGACCCACCCAATATGGAAGCCCCATCACTGAGTGAATGGTTCCTTGGTGTCCCGCCCTCCCGAACGACGTCTTGGGCGGCTGTGATCAATTCCCCTCCTAACTTTCTCGTTTCACACAGTGAAGGTTGCATTCGATGTCCCGCCCACCTAGCTTGGATGGCCCGTCACTGGCTACAGGTTTCGTTCCATGTTCGGCCGGCCCGTCCTGCGTCTCTGGCGCTCGTGATCTACTTTCTCATGACCTGCTCCCAACACAGAGTGAAGTTTGCATTTGATGTCCCGCCCGCCCGATACAGTCGGGGCGCTGACCTAAGGAACGATAAATAAGGAACGCAACCACTTTCTTCCAAGGAATAACGCATAGGGAACGATTAACACGCCGCTCACTGTATGGAGGCCCCGTCACTGAGTGAATCGTTCCTGTAATGTCCCGCCCGTCCGGACGGCGTCTTCGGCGTTGGTGGTCGGGTCTCATTTGATGTCCCCCCCGCCCAACAGGCGCCTCTGGCGGTTGTGCTCAGCGTGCGGGTGCCGAGCGGTCATTCAATGTCCCTGGGTGCGTGGCTGAAATTGAAGTTTCGCGGTGCAGAACGTTGAACTGGGTGCAGTAAGACCAGAGGATCCAGAATCCAAAATACAGGCGGATTTCGGACGAAATGTTCAAGATACTCCAGAAGTCGCCTGGAAAGATGTCGCCTGGACGCGGCCCCAGGGGCACGCCGTGCCCTGCAAGCGGGGCCCCTACTCAAAGCCCTGCATGCCGCCACGCTGGTTCCGGGCAGGCGGCGCGGTCCGGCTGAACGTTGAACTCTCAGACTCGAAGAACTCGCCTGCCGTGCCTCCGGGCACTGCGTGCCCAGAGGCACGGGAGGCGAGGAGGAGGAGGAGGATGAGGAGGAGGAGGAGGGGGAGGAGGATGAGGAAGAGAACGATGAGGAGGAGGAGGAGGAGGAGGAGGAGGAGGGGAGGAGGAGGAGAGGAGGAGGAGGAGGACCCTTTCCAGGGGCCCCTGGGCCCCGACTTCCGACACATCTGCGGGGCCCGGCGCGTGCCCCGGGGGTTCCGGCACGTGCCCCCCCGAGCTCTGGGCAGTGAGGTGCTCTCGCGCGGCTCCTCCAAGAGCCTGTTTTCCTTCAGATCCAGGCAAGCTTACTTGCACGGCGCTCGCCCCCCCCCCCCACTCCGCCCCCCCCCCCCCTCGCCCCTCTTCAATCGAACACGAGCGTGCAAGCGCCTTTCGACTTGCGTGATTTCCGCACGTCGAATTGTTTTCGGCTTGCTTCAGACTCAGCCCCCCCCCCCCGTCCATGCAAGTAAACTTGCCGGAATCCAAAGAAAAACAGGCTCCAAGGCCGAGGAGGCCCCAAGTCGGGCCAAGAGGGCTCCCCGAGAGGCCCCCGAGAGGGTTCAAGAGGGCCTCGAGACGCCCAGAGATCGGCCCAAGACGCCCAAGATGGCGTCGAGCTGACCCAAGACGCTTCAATGTCGGCCCAAGAGGCTTTCAAAAGGCCTCCCAATAGGCAAGCATCATTTATTTTCCTTGGTTTTTGATGGATTCTGGCGTTCTCGCCTTTCCAGCTTTCCAACGCTACATGAAGGCCCAAGAAGTCCCCAAGACCACCCCAAAACGGACCAAGAGGCCTTCATGAGGGCCCCAAGGCGACGCAAAACGGCTTAAGAGGTCCCCAAGACTGCTCCGAAAGGAATCCAAGAACGGGAACACGAACCGAAAATCCGAGTCTTCCGCCCCACGAGGCTCCCAGGAGACCCCAAAAGGCGGCCAAGAGACGCCAATAAGTCCCCAAGAGGCTCCCAAGAGACCCCAAGAGGCCGCCAAAAGGCCACAAAGAGGCCCCAAGAGGTCCCTAAACAGCCCCCGAGATGCCTCCAAACTGCCTCCACGAGGCCCCCGAAAAGCCTCGAGATCCCAACGAACATCCAATCGGCGTCATACCCACAACTCAGGCACGGTGGCGGGATAGGCCGAAGGTCATTCGATAATTATTCTGTGTTTTGAATTTAAGTGGCCCCCCCATCGAGGCTCACGCCCTTTTGTAATGATAGCAAGCTTCGTGCTCAAACTGTGCCCCTGGCCCCCGATTTACAACAACAGCGGCTCCCGTCTCATAGAGCCTCACAGTTTATTGTAAAATCGCGCTCTCGCGCGGGACGTCCTCACAATCTATTCAGACGCCGCGCCATCGACACTCTGGAATCACGCTGCCGCTCTGGCTTTTCTGGCGATGTCCTAAAGAATCGCGCTATCGCTCGAGACGTCCTCGCAATGTATGCAGGACTCACGCTTCAACAACTCGCCTGCTCGACCTGGCCGCCTACACACCCGCCCGCACGGCCCGCCCGTGGGGGTCTGCCCGCCCGATCTGCACGTCTCGTACCGCCACGTGTCTTCGGCTACCGGCCTTCCCTCTGCGAATTTCTCTGATGCTCCATCCTTCTCCCTCCCCTTTCCATCCGTCCTCGCTCCCCCTGTTTTAGGAGCTGTTGTTGTAGTAGTTGTTGGTGTTGTTGTTGTTGCTGCTGCTGCTGTTGTTGTTAAGGTTGTTGAACTCTCACTAATGAAACTAAGTATTGTTGATCTTCCACTCCGCTAGAATATGTGTGTTTTCAATTGAAGTGCCCCTCCTGTGGATCGCACCCAGTTTATTATCAGGCAAGCTCTTCCTGCTCAAACTGCGCCCCTGGCCCCCAGACTACAACAACAACGGTTCCCGCCTGATATTTCCTCGCAATTTGCTGGTCAATCAAAAATCGCGCTCTCGCTAATTCGGAACTTCCTAACAAGTTACTAAAAGCTCGCGCTCTCGCCCATCACCTCCTTGCAATTTTTAGGCGGGCGCCACGCCCTCGCCTTTCAGGACTCGCGATCTCGCCGGGGATTTCCTCATAATTAGGAATCGCGCTCTCGCCCGAAACATACGCATTGTGTAGGACTCACGCATTCGCGAAACATACGTGCTTTTTCCATTGAATTGCCCCTCCTGGGGCTTGCTGTGTTTTTACCCGGGGGAATATTCCTGCTCAAACTGTTCCCCTGGCTCCCAAGTTTACAACAACAACAACAGCAACGGCTCCCGCCTGATAGCTCCTGGCCATGTATTGAGCAATCACGTTCTCGCTAGGAACTTCCTTGCAATGTATGAAAGAATCGCGCTCTCGCTGGGCAGTTCCTCGCAATTTATTCGGGCGTCGCGCTTTCGACGCTCAGGAATCGCGCTGTCGCTTGGGACTTCCTCGCGATTGACTCAGGCGCCACACCCTCGACACTCAGGAATCACGCTCTCGCTTCGGAGTTCCTCACGGCTTTTACTTTGGAATCGGGCGGTCGCTCAAGACTTCCTCGCGATTCGTGCAGGGCGCACGCCTCAGCAACCCGCCTGCTCGACCTGACCTCCTGGGCCCGCCTGTCAGGGTCTACCCGCCCGACCTGCCTGTCTGGTTCTGCCACGTGCTTTCTGCTCCTACCCCCCTCTTGCTACTCTCTCTCTCTCTCGTGCTCCATCCTCCTCTCTCCGCCTTGTCCCTTCCTTCCATCAGTCCTCTCTTTCCCTGCTTTGGTGCTGCGGGAAATACACGCTGCAGGTAAGAAACATATACCCCCACGGGGATGCGATCGAAAACGAAGAGGGTGGGTATCAAAGGATTGTGATATACGTGTTGAATGGCACGCGGGCAAAAACGAGCGAGCAATCTTGAACTTACTGTTCTTGTTGTGGTTGGTGTTGAACTTTCATGACTGAAAAATATAGTTGATCCCCCTCCGGGGCACACGGTGTGTTTCAATTAAAGTGCTCCTCCCGGGGCTCGCAACTTTGTTTTCAAGGGCAAACTGGGACCCTGGCCCCCGAATTACAACAACAACGGCTCCCGTTGGGCACTTCCTCACAACTTCTTGAAAAATCGCGCTCTCGCGCGGGACTTCCCGAGAACGTATGCAGGAATCGCGCCCTCGTGTGGGGGGTTCTTCACAGATTTTTCAGACGCCGCGCCCTCGACACTCAGGAATCACGCTGTCGCTGTGGATCTCCTCAAGATTGATGTGGGAATCGCGCTATCGCTCAAGACTTCCTCGCGATTCATGCAGGACGCACGTTTCAGCAACTCGCCTGCTCGACCTGGCAGCCTGGGCCCGCCTTCCCGACCCGCCCGCTGGGGTCTGCCCGCCCGGTCTGCCCGTCGGCATCAGCCACGTGTTTTCTGCTCCACACCCCCCTTTAGCTAATTTCTCTCGTGCTCCATCCTTCTCCCTCCCCCTTTCATCCGTCCTCTCTTCCCATGTTTTAGGGCCTGCGCTAAATGCGCGTGGCAAGTCAGGAAGATATGCCCCCAAAAGGGTACGATCGAAAACGAAAAGGGCGTTTATCGAGGGTTTGGGATTATACGTGTTGAGTGACACGCTAACAGGTAAGAACGGACAATAGTAACTGATTGTTGTTGTCGTTGCTGTTGTTGCTGCATTATTTGTTGTTCGTGATCGTCGTCCCACCCGCGACCCGGCCCGCGACCCACCCGCGACCCACCTGCGACCCACTTTACGATTCACCCGCGACCCACCCACGAACCACCCGCGACCCTCCCGCGACCCGCCCGCGACCCACCCGCGACCCACCCGCGACCCACCCGCAACCCACTCGCGACCCACCCGCGACCTGGTCCGCGACCTACCCGCGATCCACCCAGATTGCTTTAAGGAAAAAATCGGCGCCTGCGGTGGGCTCGTTGCACAACTTCTAAAAATTAGGCACTTGCGGCGGGCTTTTTTTTCCGAGAGACTCGCAGACTGCCGTTCTCGCCGCACCCTCACTCGAATCCGCAGCTGCGAGGTGCTACGTATCTTTTCCCAGGACCTCGTCCCAACACAGAATGGAGACTGCATGTTGTGTCCCTCCCGCCCGATATGGACGCCCCATCACTGATTTAATTGTTCCCTTAATGTCCCGCCCGCTCGATCGGCGTCTGTGGCGCTTAAAATCGATTCATCCTTCACTTTCTCATTTCAATGCAACGAAGGTTGCATGTAATGTCCCGCCCGCCCAATTTTGGATGGCCCATCGCCGATTGGCGGTTGGGATATAGTTTCCCATGACCTTCTTCCAACACAGAGTGAAGGTTGCATTTACTGTCCCGCCCGCCCGACCAGTCCATCGGTTCGTCGTTGTCGTTGTCGACGTCGTCGTCGTCGTCGTCGTCGTCCATCGTCGTCGTCGTCGTCGCCGTCGTCGTCGTCGTCGCCGTCGCCGTCGCCTTCGCTGTCGCCGTCGCCGTCGCCATTGCTGTCGCCGTCGCCATCGCCGTCGCCGTCGTCGTCGTCGTCGGTCCCGAAGGCCCCCTCCCCTTACCCAGATCCCCCCCCGCCCCTCCTCTTTCGCCCCTCCCCCCTCCCCAGAGGAGGGTGGCAGGGGGTGGGGGGGCTGGGTTCCCGGGGAGGGGGGGGATTTTGTAGGGTGCCCCCCCCCTCCCCCTGGCTCCTGAGAGGGGGGGGGGCGAATTTTTCCAGCCAGGCGCCCGTGGAACGCGCTCTGTTGCACAACGGTGTCGCTCGCCGACGTGGCGCTCGCTCAGGCCTAGCCCCCGCTAGCTCCACGTTTGCCTCCGAATGTATACGGTCGGGAACTTGTGGATGGTGTGCCGCGGCGGCGGCCCCGGCGACACGCTATTGAAGGGGCCCTCAGACACGCAAATAAGTAGACACAAATAACAGGATCCCCAATCTTTTCCAATATTTTCGGGGTTTTTGTCTTCCCCCCCCACTTCCCATATTTTCCTATATTGTCGGGGGAATCGACGACTAATTGTGTCTGTGTGTTTTCTCCCTCCTGAGTTGAAGCCTGGGGACCTGGAGATGTACACCAGCGCCTCGCGCCGAAGCGTGGTGGGCCAGAACCGGCGGAGCGACACGCTGCCTAACAGTTCCGTACCGCATCTCTGCACAGGCCTTCGGGCTAGCTCGATGGGAATGTCTTTCGCCCGCGAGCCTGCTTTCCGCAATAATGACCCCGGGTGAGAGTGACCTTTGACGCGCCGCTTTCTGGGGGGCCGCGGGGGGGCCAAACACACGCGCGCAAGACGCCACTGCCGCCTCGCCTTCGGGCGATCGGGGGGACCCCACTGGGCCCGCACTCGAAAAGGTCTTTCCAGCGACAGGCCGCTCTTGCGCCCCGTCGAGCGAGGACCTGCGCTGCCGCTGCCGCGGGGGCGCCTCCCGCTGAGCTGCAGGAGGCTCTCGTCCTCCAGGAGCGGCGCGGCGCAGCCGCGGCCGCCGCAGGCCTCCTCGGGCTCTGGGCCCTGCGGCGGTGGCGCTGCCGACGTGCCGGCGCGGAGCAGCAGGGCTGCGGCGGCGACCGCCGCCACCACGGGGCCCGCGCGGCCGGGCGCCATGTGCGCGAGGCCGAGGGCCTGTGGCGAGGCACTCGCCGTAGAGTCTCGCTGGAGCCCGAGCTGCTATGGAGATCCTCCTCCTCCTCCTCCTCCTCCTCCTCCTCCTCCCATCCTTTCTCCTCCTCCCTCCTCCTCCTCCTCCTCCTCCTCCTCCTCCTCCTCCCATCCTTTCTCCTCCTCCTCCTCCTCCTCCTCCTCCTCTTCCTCTTCCTCTTCGTCCTCCTCCGCCTCCTTCTTCTTCTCCTCCTCCTCCTCCTCCTCGTGCTTCTCCTACACCTCCTCCTCCTCCTCCTTCCTCCACCTCCTCCTCCTCTTCCTCCTCCTTCTCCTCCTCCTCCTCCTCCTCGAACGGAAGCGGGTCTTACGCGACATGTCATAGCAACCTTGCGCTGTGGCCTACGCGGGCCGCCAGCGTCCCACTGCTGCATCGGAAACGAGGGCGCTCAAGTGCGACCTCACGTGGGGAGCTTACGCGCGGATGCCAGCACAGCCAGGAGGAGGAGGAGGAGGAGGAGGAGGAGGAGGAAGAGGAGGAGGAGGAGGAGGAGGAGGGAGGAGGAGGTGTAGGAGAAGCACGAGGAGGAGGAGGAGGAGGAGGGAGGAGGAGGAGGAGGAGGAGGAGGAGGAGGAGGAGGAACCCGTTTTGCTGCGTCGCTCATGCGCGCGAGGCGGGCACCTGTGGCGAGGCCCTCGCCGCAGAGTCTCGCTTGAGCCCGAGCTGCTGCAGAGAGCAGGTCTGCAGAGGGGCCTAGGGGGACACACGAAAATCGGCACGGAGTTCCAGGATTCCATACCATGTTGCGTATTTCCTGAATTTTCCTCTTCCCCGCAGTTTCCCGCACTTTCGGGAACATCAACGTGAATTTGTGCTGGTGTCTAGTTTTCCCTCGAGCCTCAGACTCCCAGGGCGAACTTCTTAGTGAACTCTTGAACACGCACGGGGAAGCCCTGCTGCCCCCGCTGCCGCCCGCTCGATCCGATGATCCGTCATCCGCAGCTCGATCAGCACAGCCACGGCGAGGCGACAAAGGAGCCAGGATCCATGTGCCCCGTTCGCTGCGGGACTCTCCTGCGGCCGCTGGGCCGACAGTAGAGGCCTCCTAGATGGGGTTCGAGCAGGTGGGGTCGGAGGATCGCGCCGCATCGCCGATACAGCTGCGGTGCATCGGCGGTGCATCGGCGATGCACCGGCGATGCATCGTCGACGTCGGCGATGCATCGGCAACGCTGACGTGCAGCAAGTCGGGCGCCAGATCGAGCCGCATTGGGGACGCATCGTCGACGCGGCGCGATCCTCCGACTCCATATGCTCCGATCCCATCCAGGATCGACGGCACGCAAGAGTGACCCTGGGTTAGAGTGACCTTTGGTGCTCGGCTTTTGGGAGGCCGCGGGGAGGCCGAACCCGAGCACGCAGGAAGCTGCTACCGCCTCGGGCCGAGTCGCTCGGGGGCCCCCGTGTGTCCGCACAGAGTCACTCCAGCGAAAGGTCACTCTTACCCTGCGGTCCGACAGCTCGAGATCCTCCTCCTCCTCCTCCTCCTCCTCCTCCCCTCCTCCCTCCTCCTCCCCCTCCTCCCTCCTCCTCCTCCTCCTCCTCCTCCTCCTCCTCCTCCTCCTCCTCCTCCTCCTCCTATTCCGAGCCTGGTCGATCTGTGAAGGTCCCGGGGCCCGAAACTGGGCGAGAGTGCCCGGCTCGAAAAGTCTAGTCACCTGGCTCCCAGGGTACGTCTAGTCGATAGGAGGCCTGGGCAAACTCCGCGCCCAGCCGCCGGCCTCACGCGGGGGGCGCCACCGGCCCGGAGATCCGACGTCGTGTTTTTTATCAATGCGGGGTCCCCAGAGATCTCGACTTAAGTCTGACCTGTCCCTGTGCAGGAGGAATATTCCAAAAAAGTCAAATTCGAATATTTTTGCAATAATTTGAAATTTTTTGGGGAGTATTTTTGGGGGTATCTTTATTTTTCGCCCAAAATTGGTCTGTAGGGGGACGGGCCCGACTTGAATCTCGATCCGTTCCCCAGGACCGGCTTTTCATCCGGAGTCGTTTCTCGACGGTCCCGAGGCCCGGCGAGGGCCCTCAGAGGCCGAAGCTTGCGACAAACCTCCGCCCTGATTTTGTCACTGCGTTGGGATCTCCGGGCTAGGAGGCCTGGGCAAGCTCCGCGCCCAGCCGCCGGCCTCACGTGGGGGGCGACTGGCGTGCGCTCGCCGCCTGCGATTGGGTCGGGCGTGTCGTCCTACAGGCGGCCTTTTGACGAAGCATAGAAAGCAGCAAACAACAATCAAGCATAATCAATAATATATTCAAAACTACTTCTTGATTGTTCTTGCATGTTCCTCCCCCGACTCGAGCCTGCATTTTTTTAAACTGACCGACCCCTCTCGACGTTTGTTTCCTCCAGCGTTCGTCCACGGGCACGGGGTGCATGACAGCCAGGCTGCCTGCAGCAAAGGCTTATACCAGATAAAGCCTGCAGGCGGGAGGTCTGGACCAAAGGGTTACCAGCTAGACCTCTGAAGCATAGAACGCAGCAAACAAAAATCAAACATAGTTAAGAATAGATTCAAGACTACTTTTCGACTGTTCTTGACTGCTCCTCCTGTAAAGTGGCATTGAAGGGGCCCTGGGATACACAAATAAAGACACAAATAAAAGAAATCCCCACATATTTTCCCATTTCTCTGGGGTCCTGCTTCGCCCCCACTGCCATCTTTTCCCACACTCTCTGCGGCATCGACGCCTCGCTGCGGCATCGACAAATCAATACACACTAATAAAAGGATTCCCCATATATTTTCCCATATCCTCTGGGGTTCTGCTTCGCCCCCAGTGCCCATATCTTCCCAGATCCTCTGCCATAATCGACGGCCCCTTGTGTCTGCCTGCTTTTTCTCTCCCCAGGAGGAGGAGGAGGAGGAGGAGGAGGATACGATACGACATCATTGGCAGCAATGGGTCACCATCCCCTCTGACTGTAAAGAGAGACGCGGAACAACAAAATTCTCTGCCGATGTAGCTCACTGAGAGCCGTCACAGCGCTCGCACAGGCCACTGTCCCGTGATTCGGGATCGGGCCTGCTGGCGCCGAGGTCCGTGGAAGGCCCACTCTCGGGCCAGATAGCACGCACCTACTTCCGAGGTTTCTTCCGCTCCCCCCCGCTCTCCCGCGACACGACCGACGACCCCTCCCGATCCCTCAAGAAAGAAAGCGCCAATCCTGGATCTAATCGGCCAGATCTCAGAAGCTCAGCCATTCTTACCGAAAAAATTTCAAGCCTCCTAGCCAGCCTCAAAACTTCAGCATCCAGATCAGTCGACGAAAAATCGCGATCCTCACTCCTGCTAGCTCCCACTCCTACTGCAGTTCCTCGAGAAGCTTGGCGGCCTCCCGCTCCAGCGGGCCGCGCGGCGGCGGGCCCACCTTGCGCACTGCCCCCGACTTCATGAGCGCGCACAGCACGGCCGTCTCGAGCTCCGCCCACTGCACCGAGAAGCACACCGTCACCCTCACGAACTCGGTGCTGCCCTCCTTCTTCTTCGTGGAGCGGCAACGGCAGTGACGAATCATCTCGGCTACCGACTCCAAGGATTGTTTCATGATTACGTCGTCCCAGAACTTCTTGATCACCGACCGATGCTGCTCTCCTATGGCCTCGACTCCGTACGATGCCTGTACCATGGCCTTGAACACGTGCAGAAACGGAGGTCCGAGCAGCGTGCTCTGGTCCGTGCCCTTGGTGGCCTTGACGGTCTTGTGGTAGTCGACTCCTGCGGCCACCATAGCTTTGGCGATGACCGACCCGCTTGGTACCAAAAAAGTGTGATAGACGGCGGCGATGAGATCCCTCAACTCGGCCGCCTGCGTCAGCGCCAAGGCCGCCAGCACCTTCACTAAGCGCTCTATTTGCTGCTGGCGGCCGCCTCCGGAGGAGGAGGAGGAGGAGGAGGAGGAGGAGGAGGCGGAGGAGGAGAAGGAGAATGAGGAGGAGGAGGAGGCGGAGGAGGAGGAGGCGGAGGAGCGCACGTACCCTCTGAGGTGCGTCCCAGGAAGGTCACTCTAGTTGGGGGTAAACACTCCGCAGCCCTCCAGCCCTGGAGGAAGATGAGGCACGAGGGCAGCAAGGGCAGGAGCACCACGACGGGGCGGCTGCCTAGCGGAAGCTCTCGCTGCCGCATTGGTGTCGATGCACGTCAGGGCTGCATGCCTGGCGCGGAAAGACGTGGTGTAGGTTCCTTGGAGGTGCGGGTTCGCAGTGAGCTCGCACCTTAATTTATGATATATATGAAACGCAAGGACGCAGAGATGATTACACCGACAGGTATCGATGGGATCATATTCACAAGCTACATTATAAGCAGATGTTGGTCCTAGCCCAAGACGGATCAGCGGGTCCTGTGGAATCACCGCTCGAGGGAGGGCACACAGATGAGAAAGGCGAGAACACCGAAGATAGTGGCCAATCGAGTCTGGTGCGCGAACTTCGATCCCTAGGACCTCTTCGCTGCATCCGAAACGGCATCCTTTAGGAGTCAAAATTCCGACACGCGAGGAAGTGATCCACGCTCCCGCGAGAGTCTTGAGATGGGGACAAACGAAAGAGGGGGGGCGGGAGGCAAGCACAGCTTTGAGAGCCGACCAACGATTGGCAAGCTCCGCAGCATCAGGCACTTGTTGATCAAATATCCACTTCGGAAGACGACGGGCGAGAAGGTTAGGAATGGAGTCAGGGAACAAGTCAGCGCAGACAGACCGAAGGAGGCAAGTCTATCTGCCTGGGCCGGCCTTTTTCCGCCGACTCTCTCCGTCGGCTGCGGTAGGAGCATGCAGGGGCTCCGCAGCGTCGGCAATGGCACGACGAAAGATATGTCGGGGAATTCGCGACATCGTGACCAGGGACCGTTTCGCCCTCGCCTGGAACCCCGACGGGAATTCTTGCAATGGCTCCTCGAGAGCCATGAAAAACTGGGCGATTGACACACGGCGCTTCCAAAACCTTGGCGACCACTCCTGTCGCACTAGGTCTATGATCGTACCAAAATCCTCCGCCGCCGCCCTCAACC